GCCAAATCAGGAAACTGAATGAGAAAGTTAAAACAGGGTGTTGCTTCTTTCTGAATTGCTGTTCATCAGCTTAATAATTAAAACAGGCTGCAGTAGCTCCACTAGACTGAATTTCTTGAGACAGTTTTCTGAAATGAATCTGGACGCTAAGAGCTAGTAATTACTGGAAAGGGAGATCAGACAGTAATCTTTATACCGAGTCATTTTTGGGAAGACAATACTCATCTATTGTGATTTCTGGATTTCTTTAAGAATTCCTTACCTAAATTAATTTCCCTTCTCATCTATGTTGCTCTTCAGGGACTTTAACTTGCCAAGCTGCTTCTGTTGAGAAGGAATTATTTTTAATTTATTTATTTTTAACAGCACTCCATATTGTTTCTTCTTTTTAATTATTTTGTTGACTTTCATTGCCCAGGCATTATTGTTTCGGATATCTGAGGTGTTTTTAGTTGCTGAAATAGTGGTGCCATGCACTCAAAGAGAGCACAAGAGAGGCATAGCAACCTATACCACTTTTAAAAAAAAAGGATGCAATCCATTTCTGCGTTGGGGGAGGAGGAATATATTCACAACACTTTCAAAATGAGAAATTAGGCATAAATTTGCAATGAACCATGTTCACGGCATGGATTAAACTGTGGCATTTCTAATTTTGCCCTGCTAGTATGGCAGATCTGTGAAATGCGAGGCCAGCTCGGTGGCAGTTCGTCCAAGCTTTCCTCTTTTGCTGCCAAATCCAATTCAGCACCACCCTGTCTGGACAGCTCCTGTGGGAAAGCAACTGTTTGGTCCGGCGGGTGATCATTCCACCCACTGGCCGCAAACTGTCAATTGCTATCTCTAATTAGAAAATGACCGAGAAGCCGCCAAGAGTTCATACAGGCTTCAAAGACACACAGACAAACAGACTCTAATATTAACGGTAAAAACAAGGACGGTGACAGCAGCGATTGAGGTATTTAATTGCCACAGTTAAAGAAGTTCCTGTCCAAGATTTCTTGGCAGAGTAAACAACTGTATATTGGAATTGCTCAAGCAGATCGCCTTCTCTTCCCATCTTTTTTTTGGGGGGATGGACTAGTTTTTAGGAATTTTAGTTAGAAATAAGCCACTGAAATCAATGAGGCTCCTTTCCATGTAAAAATATTTTGGAACAAGGGACATCCACGAAGGGCAAACTTTTCACAAGCGTCATTCAATCGAACGGATCCATCTCAGAAAAATGGGAGAAAGGTGAAACTTGAGAAATAACCACCTCACGAAGACTTTTTGGCTTGGAAAGGGTGGGGTGAGAGAGAAAGATGTGTAAGTTAAAGAGCTTATGAGAAGCTTATGACTCTTGCTCGCATTATCTTGGACTTGGAATTGTTCTGTTCCTTGAGGAATTGGGTGGTGACGTCTTTTCTGATACCGATTATTACGTGACTGCAACAACAACAATCAAAAAAAGTCATTGGCAAATAAAAATCCGAACGCCACATCAACAGAGAGACAAAACAAGCGAGACACCCGGCACGGCAACAAGGCAAAGAGAAAAAGAGAAAGAAAGAGAGAGAGAGAGAGAGAGACCCTTGTTTACAACAGAGAGCTGGCGATCAAAAAGCTAAGAGGGTGGCAGAAGATCTGGTAGCTAAGAAAGGAGGTCTAGGAGACCAGCAGCAAACAGCGGAAGGCTGGTCAACTTGAAGAACGCAAAAGGGAGAAGAGGAGGAGGAGGAGGTGAAGGAGAAAAATTGACGTTGAAGCCAGAAGCAGACCGGGGAAAGGAAGAGAGAACAGCTCTGTAGCATCCGCTAGAACGTAGCCTGCTCCCGTCTTCCTCCCTTTCTGTTCTCCCAATTTCGTCTATAAGGATTCCCCCCTTTCCTCCTCTTCTTGTTTCTCCCTTGCCTCTCAGATTCCACTCCAGACCTGTAAACTTTTTTTTTAAACTGGGGCGGCGCAACCCCCTCCCCAGCTAAGCAGCTAACGAGCCGATCCGCTGTCTGTCCCACGCCCCCTCCCTTGCTGCGGTTTCCTTTCGCCCATCAAAGGAAGAAAGAGACAGAGACAGACAGAGACAGAGAGGGAAGGCGATGCTTCAGGAGGATTAACTACCACCCGCGAAACTTCTTGGAAGAAGAGCAGGAGAGAGAAATCCTTCTTGATCCAGATCCACTATTGTGCCGGGCGCCAGGAGTTGAATGGTAAGACGGAATCGACCAGAGAGCTTCTCCAACCGGGCGCCGTCCAGATGGGTCGGACTACAACTACCATCATCCTCGCCCGGCATGGCCGAGAGAGGACGAGTTGTAGTCCCGCGCATCTGGACGGAATGTGGAAGGCTGAGACTGGCAGGCACTTCGGGGCGGGAGGAAGGGAGCGAGGGAGG